ATGCACTAAACTTATTACTAGCGGTGATGTTTCAGCTGGGAAGCACGGACGAAAACATGGTAACAGAACATGCTTGACTGGCAATATTTTACAGCATATTGAATTTTATAAACGGCGACAGCCTAGTATTAATCGGCGTGAAATTCAAAAAACAAAATGTCTAGCGCAAACAATAAAAGAGAGAATGGCGCCTTGGACTCAGACAGTTATACATTGTATTAAAAATGTTTAGGCTACAGTTATGATGTTTTGATTAGTAGTGATAAAATCAGTGGCAATTTCATTAGGTACTTGCTCTGATGTATCAACATTTACCACAATCTGATTGTCCAATGTTTAGTGAAAACGATTGTAAACACACTGAATGTCATTGAAAATTTCAATCTGGTTAATTATTCTCCATAATTTTTACAAATATTTCACATGATGATGTAAGCAAGACGCATTTATAACACAAACTCTTGGTTCAATAGCTGCCCAACTGTATACTTGAAATGAAATGAAATGTTCTTCCTGACAGCATGGTGCTGACGCAAATAAGAAGAATCGTGACGGTAACACGCCACTGGATCTCGTAAAAGAAGGCGATCAGGATGTGCAGGATTTGCTACGAGGCGATGCCGCGTTACTCGATGCTGCTAAGAAGGGTTGTCTTGCAAGAGTGCAAAAACTAGTCTCACTGGAAAACATCAACTGTCGTGATTCGCAAGGACGTAATTCAACACCGTTACATTTAGCTGGTAAGTAGTTCTATGTGCAACGTCGTAGTTAACTTCCATTACCTTAAGGATGCAACCCAGGTTCGTGGCATATTGTTTCTTTTTTTTGCATATTTTCAAATGTTGCAAGGTTGTCTTCACACTAGTAAAACAAAATAGTTAATTTTGGATTTCTGACCAGTATACAACAAAGAAAAATTATGTTCAGTATGTCAAACATTAAGAAGGAAAGCTTAAAGGCCCAGGTATACTCCTAAACAATAGGGATTAGTTCCTTGCTTGTCAAGCTGTAGTAAACAGCTCCAGCCAAGCTCAGTAAAAACGCGTTTTCTCGAACTTACAGGTCTATTATGTCGTGCCAAAGTGGATGCATGTGACTATGAATATCACAGCAGTGATTGTGTATAGTATTTATGACAATAAATAGTGTACGAGCTGAGATTTCGGCGGATAAAAGTAAAAAAACATGAACCGGGGAAAGGGATGTGCGACTAATCTTGAATAATTACTACTGTCAATCAAAGTCACGTGATGTTGGACCGCTGAAACAGGATGCGTCATAGGCTATGCAAGTGAATAACAACACTCATTAGCATAGCCACACCTCCAATTCACACTTGCCTGGGGCAAGTGAATTGGGCCTTTAAAATTGTGCAAAAATGATGTACCAATCTTTGGTGGGGAAAAAGCTACAATGAATAATGTACAGTCAGAGTTATTAGCTGCACCATATAGAAAAATATATTCAGTTAATATGTGACAAAGTGTTTCTATAATGTATGGTAAATGGATTTAAAAACATGCTGTTCACAGCTTTCTCATAGATTGGATTATTGTGGTCATCCACATACATTTACGTAACAATGTTTTGTAGTGTTTTCTGTTCCTAATGATTTACACACAGTCTTTGGTAAATTATGTTTAATCTATTTCTATATCTATATTTTGACCTAATTTTAGAATTTAAATCATAAATATTAGTTCAGTGCAATACATTTTTTGCTTTTTTAAAAGGAGTTAAAATGAAATGAATGAATTAATGGGAATTGCTTTTTTCTTTTGATAGCTGGTTATAACAATGTAGAAGTCGCTGAACATTTGTTAGAGAATGGAGCTGATGTAAATGCCAGGGATAAAGGAGGTCTTATACCGTTACACAATGCTTCATCATATGGGGTAAGTTTATTTGTATTTTTACTTCTGTATACAGAGACTACAAAATCTACCATTTCTGCTATTCCAGCGCTAGATCGTGGGAGAGAATAGATAAATGTACTCCAGACTTGGTGTTTACATTGAACATCATTTTGAAGTACTCAATGCTCACTATTTTCTTACTAATCAAACCTAAAAAGACCAACTTCATAGCTAACCTTGTACATTATTGTGAAGGTGATTGAATTTATTTTTTCATAAATATGTATCGAATATGTGCTTATGCTCTCAAAAATAATGTCACAATGAAAGTGCATGGGAAATTTGTCATTCCGTGACTTGTTTTCATATTTTAAGTAGACACACAAGTTTGTATTTTTGTTTATTTTTACAGCATGTTGACATTGCAGCATTACTCATCAAGTTTGGTACATGTGTCAATGCTATTGATAGATGGAGTTTTACTCCGTTACATGAAGCTGCCCAGAAAGGAAGAACACAACTTTGTGCATTACTTGTAAGTATCAGTATATCAAATATACACTCATGACTTGTCATCTTCAATATGCACCCTATCAAGTATATTGTTTGTTGACACAAAATTGGAACATACCCTGTATAATTATCACCATGCTTCAAACAACCACTATATAACAAAATATATGGATATCGGATTTCGTCATTCGAGGAGACTCTTAAAGAATCCTTGCTGTACTGTGTTTGATTCAAATGACTGTATGTTGAGATGTTGCATTTATGTCACAAGCAAGGAACAGATATAAATTCCAGTCCAGGCTTATACGTAAAGTCTTTGTTAGAAGCCGTATCCCTAATAGAAGCCGTACACATCTTTTTGTACAATTGAACAATCGTAGCCGCATCCCCTCTAATACAGGTTTTACAGTAGTTAATATAAAACTTTTCACGCATATTAACGTGAGTCTGCCCTCTAGTGTTGACATTGAACTAATCTTGAATCATTTATTCAGCTTGCACATGGTGCTGACCCAGCAATGAAGAACCAGGAAGGCCAGACACCGCTGGATCTGACATCAGCGGAGGATGTGCGATCCCTTCTAGTTGATGCTATGCCTGCTGCCATGTTACCAACATTAACAAAGACTACACCAAACAGTTTATCCCCAGTTGCGGCAGCAGCATCTGTGTCATCATCAAACAGCAGTACACCATCCGGTATACCTGGAGCTGAGCAACTAGTCGGTGCTATAGGGGGTCTAGCAATCTCGAATCAGGCTGCGACAATGACTGGTGTTCCCATCACGGCAGCTGTCAGTCCTGTTGCTACTCCTGTAGCATGTACAGGGGATGGTGCGGTCGATAAAACGGCCGCTGAAGGCAGTGACGCTGTAATAGACATCAACATTGTAACATTCTTAAAGAACATTGGACTTGACCACCTGAGAGATATATTTGAAAAGGAACAGGCACGTAAATAAATGATCTGTCGTTTGGTTTTGGTTTTACAACCTCTGTCTTTGCACAAAGTTTATTTATGTGTATATTTTTGTGTTTACGAAAACTGCTTTTCTATAACCACTTTGCATCCATGTTGCAAATATATATTCACAGATTACTCTTGATATATTAATGGACATGGGGCACGAAGAACTAAAGGAGATTGGTGTCAATGCTTATGGCCATAGACACAAGTTAATCAAAGGTCTGGAGAGATTACTCGGTGGACATAATGGTGGTGCCAATTTATTGTTGATGTTGTCCACAGCTGCTGGTAGTGGCACTATACTGGTTGACTTAACCCCTGATGATAAAGAGTATCAACAAGTAGCCGAAGAGGTTTGTTATTTTAGAAATTTTCAGTAATGACAAAGCCTTCATCACCAGTTGTTTTACACCAGTATTTTAAAGTTTAAAGAATTAATTAATGCTTTTGTCATATGCAAATTAGAAGCTCAATTCTTCAGAATTTTGCTGGGGAGAACACTTAAATTAAGATTCTTTCATAAAGTCACCTCTGTATTTGAGAGTCCACTGTTGATCTGACAACTTCAGTCTGTATTTAATAATAGACTTTATAAACAATTGCTTACGCTGTGTATTTTCTGTTCAGATGCAAGGTTCCATCCGGGAACACAAGGACAATGGCCATGCAGGGGGCATTTTCAATAGATATCATATAATCAAAATACAAAAAGTCAGAAATAAACGACTTTGGGAGCGGTATGTACATAGAAGGAAAGAGATTGCTGAAGAAAATCATAACCATCATAACGAAAGAATGTTATTTCATGGTGAGTCACTTCCATATATGGTTTGATGATGAAATTGTTTATTAATGTAAGAATCTGGAATTTATACATTCGAAATGACCGTTGATCATAGGACTGTTTGAGCATTGCAGAGTGTTATAGCAGCTTCAGCAATAAATAAAATACCAGGTAGTGCACTGTTGTTCATGTAAACAGTCACACAGCGTATGGCATACCAAGCGTTCCTACAGTCAGTCTATACAGGAAATGGTCATGTTATAATAAGTTTCTATATCCATCCAGGTTCACCGTTCATTAATGCTATTGTCAATAAAGGTTTTGATGAGAGACATGCCTATATTGGTGGCATGTTTGGAGCGGGTATTTACTTTGCTGAGAATTCTTCCAAGAGTAACCAATATGTATATGGTATTGGTGGTGGCACAGGTTGTCCAGTACATAAAGACAGGTCATGTTACCTGTGTCACAGGTGAGACAATAAATATTGTATGCATAAATGTTTGGCCATGTGTGATGGAGTAGAATATGAGTACGTTATCAAGATGAGTTGGATTTCCATCAATTTCAGAATGTTGACTATAGATTTCAAACCTCACTACCCCCACCCTTAAATGAGTTAAAATGGGTTATTGTGCTTGAACCGCGACACTTGGTGTTTAAAAAGAAAGATGGCGATTTCTATAAGCAAATAAATGCCCATCTTGGTTAGTTATACTCGGCGTTAGACACCATGTAATTATTGTCATGTTTTTGTTTCGTTTTCAGACAAATGATATTCTGTAGAGTTTCATTGGGGAAATCTTTCTTACAGTTTAGTGCAATGAAATTAGCGCATGCACCACCAGGTCATCATTCCGTTATTGGCAGGCCTAGTGTCGGTGGTCTCTCCTATCCAGAATATGTCATCTATCGAGGTGAACAGGTCAGTACACTTACACTACATGTCTGCAACTAATTTAATTTTGCTCTGTCCCTAACCCCTCGTCCCATCACAAATACTTATGGTCTGTAATGAATAGGTGATTTTCTGTACAATTGCGAGATCTTGCGAGATGTATGAAAAACGCGCGTCAAACGTCTGCCGCAAAACGAACGATTTGATTTTGAACTAGAATTTCTTTATTTCGCAACTTACATTGACCGGCCGATCTTCGACAGAGGAATACTGCTTCCGAATACCCTTACTTAATCGAAATTGCCTATCATCAAATGTGGACAGCACATTATTAAGCATGGAAATGTCCCCCAAAACACTTCGCGTTTGTCGAATCCCACGCGATGTTTGACACCACTACGACGCTATGACCTTTGTTTGTCCTGTTTTTACGTTCGATTTCACGCATAACGCGTGATTCTCGCAGTGAACTGAAAATGGTCTTTTATCACATACTAAATGACAGTCATAGTTTCTATCTTGGTTATTACTGTTTGTTCCATCAACCTTTTTCACCACAAGTTCCAGTTTTTCATCACAAATTTACAAAATAGTCCTGTTTACAGTCTGCACTTTCCTTCAGAAGATTGGGACAAAAATATTAAAATTTTTTGAGTAAAAACTGAAAATTTACTCAAATTTTATCTTCTGGCTCCAAAATTGTGGTTTAATTCTAGAAATATTTAAGAATATAAGAAAAAAGTGCAGAAAAATTTTGGCGAGAAAGTCTGGTGGAGAAAAGGTTAAAACCACAACAGTGTTCTCCCCAGCATTCAATTTTGTGTGCGGGGCCGCAACGCTGCTTTCCCTGCCCGCCACTGTGGTCTTGAGTCGCCACGGTGATCAGTAAGACCGCCACAGTGCTTTTTTGATTGTTTATCCTGGGAACTGTATTGCGAAAATAAAGTACGAAATACATAGCTATCAGGGATCTTGCCTCGCTGGTCAGCCCCGACCAACACTCAAAATTAGCGACCACCACTGAAACGCTTCCGACAAGGTTTATTGTCCGACTGTTATTATAATTACGTACAGACCGACACGCATTCTGTCAATGGTGGATTATAATGTGTAAACAATAGACATAATCGCACGATGTGCTTATAAACAATACAACTCAATTTTGTAAAATTATCACCTCTTTGTTTATAAGTAAATACTTTGACGATCGACGCAGTCTTTAGATTGAAAGCTAAAATTCTTTTCAAATCAATTCCACCACGATATAAGCATTGGCAAAGCGGAGTTCATGATCAGTTTACGCTACTCAGTGATTGGGTAAAATACATTTGAACTTTTATCATTGCGAATTATGTGAAAACTCTTCTTTCAAGACTTTTCTTTTACCTTATAAAAATTGCTTATCACCTCTTTCGAAAACCATCATGCAGTTTTCATCTGAAATCCATACCAATACATCGTGCTACGACATCGCAATGTAATTTTTATTATCACTACCATTTGGAAAAGTTCGGGTTCTACCGGCATTACCATGCGGCATTCTGATTGGTTAATGTCATTTTTGACCCATCGGGTCAAAGGTCACAGTCATCATTGCGATCTGTTTTTCACTGAAGCAATCGAGTGATCAAAAATAATTTTACATTTTTTGCATGGCATGAGTGAGAAAGAGGAATTATTGGTATAACCGGTGTACAACATCGCGAAGTGAGTTATGTCATGGCGTGACTTTGATGATCGTTTGGAAGTTTTATTTGTTCGTTCATTACTGTAAATGTGATTGTTGTAAAAGCTGTGGTACAAATAATGAACAGCAATTTTTTGAAGGAGAATGTTTCTGTAGTAAATAAGATAGTGAAAGTCATGAACGTTTCAAATGTGTTTCATTTAACCTATTACAATTTATTTGTTTGTTTTTAATAGTCTGTAGCATTTGCATTTCGATTCGACAATGTTTCATTTTTAAATTCAAACTCGTCTAAATAGTAAAACGTAATATTTTGTCCTCAATAATAAAAAAAAAATATTTGCACTGTGACCGAGCTCATTAATATTACAAAAGTGCCCAAAAGAATAGTGTTTATAACACTGTGTGCAGCAAATAAGTATGTGCCACTTTGTTTTTGAAATTATATGTTTGCTTGTTGTGTGGGTGTAAATGTGCTTTGGTCAATCTCCATTATTATGTAAATGATATGCAAAGTATATGCAAATTAGTTCGCCACAGTGGTTTAAATTCTAGGGGAGAACACTGCACCATATTATTGTTACAATTCAATGAATAACTGCAACATTGTTGAACTGAACTCACAAGTGTCTTTATTTTATTCCAGGCATATCCTGAATATTTACTCAGTTACCAAATTATAAAACCAGATCCATCTGATAAACCAGTAGGACAAGCATCCTGAAGATTAGAAGTCATCAGCTGCACAACAATACCTCAGCCTGTGTGTACCTATCTGTACAATGTGTGTACTCGCTATGTTATGTATGTGTGAAGAGACCCAATATCTGCGTGTCAAGTTTTCTGGTTATTTTAAGTGTCCTACATGTAACAGTGACATTCTTGTGAGTTGGAGTTAATCGGTGTTGATGGACTTTCAGTCGTCACGAATATTTTACTTTACCATAGTCCGTTTTCTCCTGAATATGTTAAATTCTGTCTTGCAATGCATCCAAGTTTCCTATGAAATGTTCCTAAATTATTGAAAATGTTATTTTTCATTCATACACTCACATGCAGCAGGACAAAATATAATTTGGGACCATACATTCATAGTAAGATATCTCTGATAGCCATGGATGTGTATTCAACTTGTGAACACTGAGAGAAACCGTTTCTCAAACTAATTTTTTACCTGTTAAAAAAAACCACCCACCTCTTTATGACACAGGCTTATGATTATTAATGTAGCAACAGGGAGCTTGTACAAGTGCATTCATGTTTACTGTCTTGCATCAGAGGTCTTGTAATCATGTCTTCTGGTAAGAAATGAACTTAATCCTGCATGACAGGCAACTGAAAACAGACCGTGTTTAAATGTCATGTTTAATTTACCGCTCTCCTTTCTATAAGTTGAATTTCCTAATTGGTGATGTAGTTGGGTCACCTCTGAAAAAGAAACTGGAAATTGGAACGACAAATTTGTGAAGCTACTTACAAGATTGTACCTGATTGGCTACCCAACTCCAACACCTAACAGTTGGACCAATCAGAGACCAGCTTTTTTGTTGACAGTTTTTTTTTTTTTTGACGTATCTAATATACAAGAACTAAGCCAATCGCTACGGAAAAGTGGGTGGTCAGGAGGGACCTGGAGTCTATGTTGGGTATGAACTATCTGAATAGGCGGGTTAGGGTATATGCTTCGACTCAAAAGCAAAAGTCACTATGACTCGGCCATTGAGCACTGTTGGCAATTTACTGCTGAAAGCTCTTCAAATTTTGGGTTACTTTTACCAAAATATGGCATTCTTGAGATATCTTGATTAAAACCAGACATAGCTATTAATATTACTAGTTATTGTATTCAGTGAAATAGTCCTATCATGCTTAACTGTTTTGAATTCTGCTTCTGGTGTGTGTTAACACAACTAACCTAGAAAGTAAATAACATTTGATGTTACAGTTTACTCAGATACAGTGGAACATGATCAAATGTTTTATCAAATTAAAGCTTTAAGGAAAGTTGTGACATTTGAAATCCACGAAAATTAATCTTTTGTCAAATGAAAGCAGCCTACTGTATGTATGCTACTTTATATTTTGAGGCGTCTTGGCAACTTTGTAAATAAATTATGAATCAAACTTAGAAAGGAGTCTTGTTGGGATAACATGACAGATTACCATTTGAAGCATTGATTGTATGTGTACGTATGATTGAATGAATGTGTGATGTTTATTTATTTACATTTGTGTGTGTGTGTATGTGTGTATTGTAAACTGCTTTTAAATCAAAATATAAAAAAATAAGAAAATATTTTTATTATTACTTTATGAAAATTGTATTGTCAGTGAAGCTAGATGTAAAAAAGGATTCAATCCTTACTTTGTGTATGTCTCATGCAATTATTGTACCATAACTGCAGAAAGCAAGATAAAATAGAATATTCATTTGACTTATATATAGAATGAATATCATTCTTGCTTAATTATTACAATATGCAAATTCAAATTAATGCCATTTTTATATATTTCTGTGTTTGTCCAAACAGAAAGGTATACATTCTGTGGTTGCTTTGTGTTTCAAACCATATTTTTCGAAGAAGAAAAAACAACAAAAACGCTTTAGTATTTATGAATTATTCATTCATATATCTGTTACAGCAGCAGTGGATTTTTCAAAAAAAAGGCTGTGAATGAATTTTTAGGTTAAAATTTAATACTGTGAATGTTAAATCTGACAACACATGCTTGACTTGTATCATTTGGTCTCTCAACTCGTTTATTTGAAACTTGCAGTAAAAATTAAAAAAATGCATCATTATTAAGGAGCTCCCCAAACTGTTGCCTCCCTCAAAGTATTTTATGTCTCTGACATGACAGTACTGGTATGATAACTCTGATTGTAATTAAGGGAGGGTATTACAATAACCACAAGTAACCAAACATTTTATATTTAACAAAATTGTCTAAATTTCCCTGATTACACTTTGTGTTTTTAAATTAATGATTTTATGACTTAACTTGTCCTCCCAATTTGGACTATAAATCTTCCAAATCTAGTTCCGAAATTTCCATCTTGAGAAAACTTGTGCCACAAAGTTTAGCTGCAAGGCATATGTACTTACCGGTAGTCACTCAGATGATATGTAATATTTATCTTTCTATTCTGATTCAGCATTTTTTTTACTTGTACATACAAATGCATTACCCATCTTCCAGGTGTTTCCCCCCTTAGATCATGTTAACTTTTTTTGCTCACAAAATGAACTTGCATGTTGTATTAATAATCAGGATTCTTCAAATGTAATAACCATTCCAGATAAATTTTGTTTTTACCCCAATTTGTTACAGTGGTAAAATGGTTGCTGTTTCTATACAGTAACTCCATTATTTTGCAATTATTCCACCCATTTTTATGGGGGGAAAATATTATACCAATGTCCCTATGAGGTTTTATGTTGGCTATTCCATGCTGTAAATATCAAACATCATGTATTACTATTAAATTATGTTTGTCTATATAACCATATTCTGTCGTCATTTATTTGTCCCATTATACCACCAGACACGTGTATATTTTACTGTTATGGGTACCTGCATGTTGTATGCAGGAACATTGTCCACAAATGTCGGGCTGAAATTGCGATAGGGTAATACTGTGGAATACTTTATTTTCGCTGAGTTTAATGTGAAATATAGGAAAAAAGGTATATTCGCTGGATTTTATTTTCACGGAATCATTCCTTCAGCGTAAATAGCGAAAATAAAGTATTCTTCAGTAGTGAGATAAACCTGTGTAGCTATGAATATGCCGCAGAGCTTTATATTGAATTTAAAATTCACACAAACTACTTTAACCACTAATAGTATGACAAAAATGAGATCATTTAAACCATCATTGCATTCATTGTCACTTTTTGGTTGCGTGGATTTGAACTGCCAAAAATAGGAACCCCCCACACACCATTGTGATAATAAATTGTAAATCTTGTGACGTCCATCACAATTACAAATGCTGACTAGAAATCACTATTAAAATGTTGGCGATGAGGATGTCTGACCAGTTGAACACTCCGTTTCTGGGCATTGATTCTTCGCATAAAAAAAATTATCATCACGCAACACATGTTCAAATTTCATGTAAACAATGTATTTTCCATGTGTAGTATAGAATGCTGTGACACAACATCGTCCATATCCTCACAGTTCCAATCACAATCTATTTAGTACTGCATGTATGCATTGCCTGGTAGATAGTACATCACACTGCAAATTAAATCAAAGGTTATCGGTAATACCTTTATTGAGAAAGAATTTCTTTACAAAGTTTAATAAAATATTGTAAAATTTTTTACATGGGTAGATCCAAGACACTGTACATATGGCATCAGAAGAACAACTACCATACACTACTGTAATACTGTTTTTAGAAACATTGCACACGAGCTGTTCTAAGATCTAACAATAATATTTCTAGTTAAAAACTATAACTATTTTACTACAAACATCCATACAAGCCTTCAAATTGGGTATTACCAGTTACCACCTTCCTGGCATTTTATTTTTTTTGAAGATTTTCAATTTAGACCAACTTGACAATACATTCTAGTTTTGATAAATGAATGAAGTTATGACAGTTGTCATTTGTATTTCATATCCGTCTCAAGTAAAAAATATAATTTGATATCACTTGCATAAACATTTGATTTGGTAGAATCCTTTGTGATGGTTGGAATGAATTGGTAGTACCCCTTATGATGGCTAAAATTAATCTGGTAGAAACCTTTATGATGATTGGAATGAATTTGACAGTACCCCTTATGATGGCTAAAATTAATCTGGTAGAAACCTTTATGATGATTGGATTGAATTTGGCAGTACCCCTTATGATGGCTAAAATTAATTTGGTAGAAACCTTTATGATGATTGGAATGAATTTGGCAGTACCCCTTATGATGGCTAAAATTAATTTAGAAGAAACTTTTATGATGAATGGAATGAATTTGGCAGAATCCCTTATAATGGAATTGATTTGGCAGCACCTCTTATGATGGCAAAAATTAATTTGGCAATGATGTTCGGAAAGCATTTGGCGATATCCTTACGATGGACAGAATGAATTTGGCAATTACACTATGATGTTCGGAATGCATTTGGCGATATCCTTACGATGGTCGGAGTGAATTTGGCAATAACCTTCACATGATGGTTTGAATGAGTTTGCCAGTACCGCCTCAAACCAGTTTTGATCTCATGATATAACGCCAGATGTTGACAAGTAACTAGAATTGGCTGCATCAAAATTAAAAATTAATGAATCAATTTCTAAAATTGACAGTTACACAAAAAAACAAAATCAGAATGAGGATGGGTGGTCATGCTTTTTGTCTTTTACATTACATTATACACATTAGAAAAACACTTTATATAGTAAAATGATTCAGTTATTGCTGCGCTAAAAAGCAAATATATATCTTGGCAAGAAATCGCCAGTGCTGACAAACATAGTGCGGGTATATTGTTTGTTTTACCACTAATCACACCATACATATTGTATTAACTTGACTGATTGGCAGTATACATTTCATAGGTTAGACACCCAAATTTAGGCGTTACAGTGAAAGATTTTGTCATGAAGAAAAAATAATTACCGAGTTTGTTTCAAAAGATTGTTGTTTACATGTTTAAATATTCACTGAAAAGTAATGTAAATTTCACTGCTGCAGAATGATTTCGACCATAGGGTTTCTGAGAAAATTTCTTCAATACAGAACTGAGAGAGTAAAGTGACTGGTGATGCAGGCATACAGTCTGATTGGATAAAAAATGATTTTTTACCTTTATTTGTCACTGCGTTGTTACAAACTTTTAAACCAGACGCAGTAAATCGCAAAACATATTTTAGTTACAAAAATCTAAATCATGAGACAAATATCTAATATCTCAAACTGCGACCATGTTGGTTTAAATGAATTTGACACACCGGGTAATACCACCTAAGATGACTAGAATTAATTTAGTAGTGACCCTAAAATGGTTGAAGTAACTTGCAGCAGGATCTTGGACTATTTCTATGAAAAAAATAGTCAATGTTAATGACATAATCCCAGTTTGTATTTGGCTGACACAAAATTATTTCTGTCAAGGCACCTCTGAGAAATGGTTGAAGAAAAATAAAATAAAATCAACACCAGGAAACATATCATGTGTGATGCTCATACCAAGTTTACAAAAATTCGGCTTTGGCATGAAAAATTTTGAATTAAATGTCGATAATTCATAATTTCTGGAACTAAAATGGCTGCTAGCCATTCAAACGTCATCAAAATGAAAAACAATTAAATGTGCATATGTATACTATTATTTTTTACTTGTCAATACACAAACTTTGAATCAAACCAACCCAGGCATCTATGTGAAATGACGTCAAACAGGCAGATGGTTAGAATGATTTTGGCAGATCCCTTTATGATGGCTAAAATTAATTTGGTAGAAACCTTTATGATGAACGGAATGAATTTGACAGTACCCCTTATGATGGCTAAAATTAATTTGGTAGAAAGCTTTATGAATGGAATGAATTTGACAGTACCCCTTATGATGGCTAAAATTAATTTGGTAGGAACCTTTTTGATGAACGGAATGAATTTGACAGTACCCCTTATGATGGCTAAAATTAATTTTGTAGAAACCTTTATGAATGGAATGAATTTGGCAGTACCCCTTATAATGGCTAAAATTAATTTGGTAGAAACCTTTATGATGATTGGAATGAATTTGGCAGTACCCCTTATGATGGCTAAAATTAATTTGGTAGAAACCTTTATGAATGGAATGAATTCGACAGTACCCCTTATGATGGCTAAAATTAATTTGGTAGAAACCTTTATGATGATTGGAATGAATTTGACAGTACCCCTTATGATGGCTAAAATTAATTTGGTAGAAACCTTTATGAATGGAATGAATTTAGCAGTACCCCTTATGATGGCTAAAATTAATTTGGTAGAAACCTTTATGATGATTGGAATGAATTTGGCAGTACCCATTTACGATGGCTAAAATTAATTTGATTGAAACATAAAACATAAACATGTCCAACGTGGACAAATAAACCTCACATTTTATTCTTCAAGGTACAGTAAAGTGATGAAAAATGTAAAATAAACATCATATAGCACCAACATGAAAAAGAAAATTGTTTTAAAGAAACTCTACTACAAAAGATGACATAGATATTACCATGGCTGTTCCTGACAGAGGCTAATGAACACACAAACACTTCACAGAACAGTGCCAGATGGCGCTAAAACAAAATAACTTAGCAAGAAATTTGCATAGACAATATTAGTGTTGAGAGCCCGAGTATTTATCCTGATGTGGTAGAATTTGAATTGTAATCTGTAGTCAAGAATAGTTCATGAATGAAGTGAAACAAGTGATACCGCCCTCAATGTCAATTATTATGGTCGCAGCATTTCATTGACTTCTTGTATTGTACACTTCAGTTATTAGATATCACAATTTTCTCTCTGGAGAAAAAATAAAATAAGTTTTGTTTTTCTCATCAATATTTTCTTCATTTTTATGTATTTTCTTGGTGGGTCACTGGGAATAAGTTTAAAAGTAAAGTAACAGTGATCAAGAAAAGCTGGCAGGGACGAAAAGGCCACCAATCTAAAAAAAACAATGTGCACAAAATCCAATATGTATTGTCACAATGTCATATTTGATTGAAATCAGCCTGGTCATAACCAAAAACCGGTCATGTTAGGATTAGGATTTAATTTAATACCATAATATGACTGTTTTCAGCTAAATTTGATCAGATCACTAGCAATCAGATCACTAATCTTCAACGGAACAGAAAATAAAAATGTTTCTTGTGATATAAAAATTGTATATCAACTTTCAACATATCAAGTCTCTGTCAATGACATAGTCCTTGTTTGTATTAAGATATATATACATATGATGCATGTGTGAAGTTAAACCTTGGTTGGTCAAGGCATGTACGATATATGGCTCCGTGGAACTGCATTCCTTTAAACAAGATGAGGTGCATCATGGTCTAATTATGTTGAATGTATGTACCAAGTTTGAACGAAATCCGTCTATGCATGACTGAGATTGTGTTCTGGAATGTTGAAAATGTTTAATTTTGATGCATTTTTGGCCTTAAAATGGCTATCAAATACTGCGGTAGCTATATTGAATCAGATCACGAAACAAATGTATGTGCATATGTCTGATGCTAGTTGAAATTGATCGGTCCAGGCATGTCAGATACAACTGCTTTCTTTGAAAACAAAATGGTCACCAGTTGGTCATTTTGAACCTATTCTGAAAAATAAAATCATATGCATTAATGTCCCATTGTTTTCAATGTATGTACCAAACAAGCAGCCTGTCGGCTGAGATAGCTCCGCTGTTAGCAATGCACATGGCAATTAAAGAACAGAAGATATCATTAGAAAATGAACAAATCTGAGAGAGGTCCACATGTACTACCTATATGTATAATATATCAAAGCAATTGGACTTGCGGTTTTCAACAAGAAGTCGAAAATATCACTTTTTACCAAAAATTACAAAAATATTCATCAAAATTAGAGAATTAAAGATATCATTATGAAATGAACAAATCTGAGAGAGGTCCACATGTAGTACCTATATATGTAATATCAAAGCAATTGCACTTGCGGTTTTCAACAAGAAGTCGAAAATATCACTTTTTACTAAAAATGACAAAAATATTCACCAAAATTAGAGAATTGAAGATATCATCATGAAATGAACAAATCTGAGAGAGGTCTACCCAAGGTACATATACACCAAGTATCAAAGCATTCAGGCTTGTAGTTTTCAAGAAGAAGTCGAAAAAGTAAAACATTGACACGGACGACGACGGAGACGGAGACGGACAATCACTCATATGATAAGCTCCGCTTGACAAAGTCGACAGCGGAGCTAAAAAGGCTTTCATTTGGCCATCTTGACTAAGATCATGAAACAAATTTATGTGCATATGTTCGATATAATGTTGGATGTAAGTGTGAAGTTTAAACTCAATATGTATGAGGTATAGCTGGATATGAACGGACAGGAGGTCAATTCACCAGCCCCTGTTTTCAGAATTTGTCGGAACAAGGACTAATTAAAGCAAGGGAGTCATAACCTGTGCATGAGACAGACATGAGCCTTTGTGTTTTAACCATGTGTTGTTATTGTCGCCCAGGACTCGATTCTCAAAGTGTGCAGGTGACCACACCTCCGCTTTAATCATTGTATCTTTGATAAACAGACAAGGATATAGTGAAAAAATGGCTACCAATTGTGATCAGTCAAGAACAATCATGAAAATAATTGAAATATGATTTGTCTACCTTTGAATGAGGAAGTGTGATCTACTCATCTTGACCTGAGGAATCATCTTCAGTACCAATATGGCCATTGAGGGTTTTTTCTTCCTGTAGTGTCGACCTAGTTGGAATCATCGGTTTCTCTATCTCAAAAACATCAATAATTTCCTATAAAACAATTTACAAACATGGAATAATTTTCATAATAGAGATAAACTGACAAAAAAAAAAGTCTGCAGTTTTGAAATGATATAAATTATATCATGATTCTCCGCAAAGACTTCATAGCTTTCAGGAGAGTGGTTCTATGTACATGTTGATAAGTAAACTAAAGTAAATTATTTCACAACATATAATATTTTAGAGGGACATAAATTAAGAGAATGGATTTTTGTATGTGATTTCTGCTGGCATGGCAAATCAATGGTGTTTCATGACCATTTCACCAAAAAAAAAGTATTTTTTAGTGACGTAATAAGTTTTATGTTTCCACACATGGGTGGAAATCAAAAACAAATTATAATGTGATGAAGCAATATTCTATTATATTCTACTATACTCTATACCTGTAAATTATTACATGATTTGAATCAGTAACCTTTATAATGCAAGCCTGTGATTTCTGTTTTATTTTCACATGATGATCTGTTCTCTGCCTGCCACCCAATGTGGTATTATACCATTCATATTTTTTGACAATCCAATTTATCATTCATGCATTGTCCTTTTATATTTCTAGAATAAAAATTAATGCTTAATATCTGTACTCTGGGACATTCACTGTGGTTCTATGTAGAAAACAATGCTAATCCAATTCACTCACTTTCCATTGTTCCATATCCATGGTTACCACAACTTGTTTTCTGTCAACTCTTTCCGTAGTCTGTCCTTCCACATACGGTTCTCTTGGAGCTAAAAATAAAATGTGAATCTCATTACTTACCATAGAGGACGCTTCACAATTTAACGTGATATTTTAAAGCACATTATAATTCCATCCAGTCAGTTACCATCATTTATTTGGGGGATTACCAACAATGTGACATTACATAATTGCCTATTAAAAAATAAAGCCTTTTTGTAATTCTTTAATTTGAATATTAAATTCAAAGTGACAGCTGAGTCAGTCAAAGTCAAATTATTCATTGTTTCAGTGTTGTGGCTGCCAGCTGTAGCTTTCAAACACCAATGCAGCATGTTAACAAGTCATGAATGACACTGCCTTCGCTAGTTGTCATTCTAAAGTTGCATGGACATAAATTGGCAAACATGATTTTAATGGCATTCCCAAGTTTATAGCACTCTCCATCCAGGTCAGCATTATTCTCAGCAAGGAAACCAGATAGCACCAAACCAGTACAACAGGTAAAATGACAAGGAAGTATACAAATCAGATCTGCAAATATGTCAGTGTTGTGTCTGTTTGGATAAATTAGTTTGTGGTCCTGGATTAGTTTCAAAATCTCTAAAAAGGACAAGATTACTTCTCATACGACAATGATACAAATAAAGTGCAAAAATCCAGAAAAATATTATCAAGTTTTTATTATCATACATTAATATTAA